AAGGAAGGTTGGGCAATCCTACTTCCGTAGTGATACTGCCTCGGAAACCCAAGGAGGGGTCGCTATGAGTCGGGTTTGACTCGACAGCACACAACAACAACAACAACATGCTCAGAACAATTCCTAGAATAATTTTGGGCTTCTCAAAATCCGTCCTTTATTTAAAACTGCTTATTTACTCCTCTACATAATATAATCTTTTAAACTTTGGATATTTTAATTCAAAGGTAAATTGAATTGTTATTTGACTGTTTTTGTAGCATCTTCCAAACCAACACCTCTCAAAATCCAGCAAAAAGGTATGCAACATTTTTGTGGCCTGGTTTCTTATGCTAATTGCAAATGTATGCATTGTTTGTATCAACTCCACAGAGAACACAGAACCTACCCCACAAACATAGAACCTATAAGCCAGGCACTCTGGTATGCTTTGTAGAAGATATAAATATGAAGAAGACATGGTCCCAGGTGTTAAGTAACTGAAAATGTAGTGAGACTAAGGCTTATGTATGACTAATTGCTAGATAAGAATACAGAGGTATGCTCTTATTAGAGATTCATATAAGATTCCATTGGTTTGTGGGGATGATAGGATTAGTATATGTGATCACAAAATTTGAAAAGATAGTGTTTGTAGTGGAAGGACAAAATTTCAGTCAAAATTTGTCTTATGCTGATAGAAAGGTGAAGTCATTTAGCTTACAAAGGCATTTGTGACATTTTGCCATGAACAATGGCATAGAGGTAAGAAAACAAATGGTTTGACTAAGCCTTATATAACTAGATAGACACAAGAAAACTTGTATTATATGTATATATATGTTGCTGTTGTTAGCTGCCATTGAGTCAATTCTGACTCATGGCAATCCCATTTACAGAGTACAACTGCTCCAAAAGGTTTCCTTGGCTGTAATGTTAACAGAAGCAGATAGGCAGACCTTTTTGCCATGGGTACTGCTAGGTGGGTTTGAGCTGCCAATTTTAAGTTTAGCAACTGAGTGCTTAACCATTTGTGTCACCAGGGCCTTATATATATAAATAATCTAAATTATAGTAGCAAAATTGATAGAAAAATGAAAAGCAAAAGTTTTCATTTCTAATTTGCAACTTTGGTATAACTCATTTTTGTTGTCTTTATATAATGTTACTATAAAACCAAAAACAAATGTACTTCTCTTTGTAAGGTTGCCAAACTTGTCCGAAGAGTTGGATTTGGTTCAAAGACAATTGTTACTACTTCTCCAAGGAGGAATTAACTTGGAGAGAAAGTCAACGTGCCTGCTTCTCTCACAATTCCAGTCTCATGAAGATAACCAGGGAGGAGCTGGTAAGTTGTTAGCTTAACTGACTCTCAGTTAATATGGAAGTATGTAAGATATGTGAAGCTGAGTAACTGAATTAGACTGAAGAATCCTTTATATTGATCTGAGTTCAGCACTAGATAAATTGCTGAAGGATATCAACAGTTTATCTTTTGCAACAATTTTAATATACAAAATATGGCATGTTGTTGTTGTTATGTGCCGTCGAGTCAACCCCGACTCATAGTGACCCCTCCTTGGGTTTTCGAGGCAGTATCACTACAAAAGTAGGATTTCCCAACCTTCCTTCTGAGGAGTGGTTGGTGGGTTTGAACTGCCAGTCTTCTGGTTAGCAGTCAAGTGCCTTAGGCACTATGCTACCAGAGCTCCCAGTGTATCTATGATATATCTAAAGAGAGAAGAGATAGATACTGGGAGTAAAATCGCTTAAAAGCCTATGAAGGTGTTATTTATTATTATATTTTTAATCTCACTCCCTTTTGCCCAAAACCAACATGATCTTTTTACTCATATTTATGTGTTTATGTTATTTCCCATGAGAGTCATGTTTAACATTAGACGTTGTGTATCACTAGCACCTAAAAAAGGTGCTAGAATGTAGTATGGGGTTAATAATTTTGTGGAACAGATGGATTGAATAAATGTAAATATGATTTTGATCATTGTAAAAGGTACTTCCATGCTGTTGATGAAAAGATAATAATGTACAAGTTATATATGCATATGTTTGTTTACCACCAGAATTTCTTCTCTTTAAAATCTTTCTTTTGGATTGGAGTCTACCATAATGGAATTGACAAGTACTGGCTATGGGGAAATGATTCAGTTATGGCCTCTGATATGTAAGTATTCGGCACAATGCAGTTTTCTCTGCTCTTGATTAACTTATTGCATTTCCCAAAAGAATAGAAATAAAGGTTCCTAGGGAATAATTTCAAGGGCATTTGGGACCTGGTGAGAAAGAACTAACTTTAATCCAATTATATGTGCAGCAGATGACAGAGCTCACTTCCTCCATCATTCCTGTCCTAAGACTTTTTCTTACAAGTCATGGATAAAAGTCTACTTTCTCATTAACCACGTTATTTTACACCAATTTGTCTTCCAGGTCATGTATATATCCCTAAAATCCTCATGCTTTTTAATTATTTTTTTCATTCTACTCACTATGAACCTATACACTATGGAGCCTAAAATACTTCCTCCCCACCAGAAGGGTTTATGTAGACTTGTTATTCACAGGTCTTTTATTATTTTGTATTTAATTTGTCTATCTACTTTTATGGAGCTCTGGTAGCATAGTGCCTAAGGCACTTGACTGCTAACCAGAAGGCTGGCGGTTCAAACCC